CCTTGCTTCACCTAATTTAATCCACAAGCCAATGACTCCAATTGCAAATGTAAAGTTGATATGAAAAATCCAAAGTGAATAAAATGGTTGCATCTAAGCCTAAAGGCGTGCTCCTTGTTGTGGTTTATACAAAAAGATGTGAATGTGATCGAATAGATAACCTGGGAGCTAGCTCGCAGTTACAACAGAGACTGAATCAGATTGTGCATGCCCAGACTCTAGTTGACTAAGACCAACCCAACCATAACACAAGTAAAATCGAGGGCATGCATGAATTCTTGTTTGGACGACTTTTGGCATTGGATTCTCATGCATGGCTTGGCGCTAACTTCATAAAGTGAAAGTAATACTTCAAGAGGAATGGGAAAATTGCTTTTACCAGCTGCCCTGTTGACGATTACGCAGAAGCAACCAAGACAAAGACATGTTTTGATTTGACTAATGGTTTACTCGAAATTATCCTAAAATTAAATAATACGATTTTCAAAACAAATAACTGCACATGTAGAAACACAACTGAGGATGCTGAAGTAAAAGTCTTTACCGAGGAAGACATACAAACTTGTTCCAACAGCTCAAGAACTCATTCCAAAAGTGTTATTTTAGCATATTTACGAAAGGGGAAACATCACATATAGGTAGAGCATAAAAACTATTTAGCAAGCACAATGTAAAACCTAACTTTTTTGTAGTCCAACTGCTACTTTTGGACGCCACATGCTCCCATTCCAGTCGTCAGAATCGATGCTATGGGGCTCGACTGTGACTTCTTTTCACTGCCTTTCTCACTTAACCCGCACACCCCCAAGGCCAAGTGTCTCTTTAGGCCTGCGAAGAACGGGCCAGAGTATTTTGCAGTTAGGCCTGTGAATTAACCTCGATATTTGCAAGCACATATTCACCCAATCACACACCCACATACACACACACGCAAACACATACACGTACACACATGCAAAACTGTGGGACCTAGCTTACAAGATATCGAGACATTCTTTTGAAGCCAGAAACGAAATGACGACACAAGATGCAGTCATCGCAACACCTTTTCTCTTGCTACTCCAACTCGTCTACGGCAAACCTCCTTACTTGCGCACAACCGTTAATACCGGCGTACTACAGCAAACTATGGTCGTGAAGGCGCCCACTGCCTGCTGCAGCCTGCATAGCGCCTGCCAAATTACCGGAAGTCGACCACACTTTACCGCTTCTCGAAGCATCTGCTGGAAGAACTTGTCAAGAAGACCATTCACTGTTTGAAAGGTAAAGTCCCGTCGGCATGGCCGGATTACCACATACCCCAAGACGCATGGCAATAAGGTCCAAGAGACGGAGTGGTCCCAATTAATGAATGATGAACTCGTGATGCAAAAGCATAATAGCCCTTTGAATATGATGAAAAATGAAGCAAGTAAAATTGCCCTATTTAAGAGTCATATATTATCATGCAAACACAAGTTGGTCGAATGAGTTAGCCCAAAACAAGCCTCACCGAACCGTCGCCTGGGTTGATACAGTTCTCGAAGCACCATCCTCTCTCTTCGATAAATCTGGTTCAGACGTTCCGACTACCTCCATGTAGGTGCAACGAACAATCGGTTATTTATGGGTAAAGGAAATGATGTCGCTTTTTATAATAAAAAGATAGCCAAGGCTGTCTTATTCTAGTCAAACTGGCCTCAGGTATTACAATTGTTGACAATAGAAAGTTGTCATGACGGTCCGAGTCGGTCCCACGTTACCACTGCATTTAGCATAGCC